AGAAGCAGTGGAACGCAGTAGAACCGACGTTCGACGTAAATAGATCTTACTATCAACTGTCACTGGCAAACCGGATTTCTGAACAAGGAAGAATATATCACCACAGCTAACGTTGTGGGGAATGTGTCTGCAACCTGTAATTACCAGGATTTCATTTTGTTAAATACGATCTATATTCGTATCTCTTGAAGTTTCTACTAAACTTTTTTGTTTTGATCATTACCAGACCATATAACCTTAGCTCTGAAATAAACTCCAGAGAATTGCCACGGTTGGACTGGCCTGATTTCCGCAGTCTCCCAGGGAGACGAGGCCATTTAGTGTGAAACATTTACAACTGTCGCTTTGAAATGCAGCCGTGTGGCGGTTGCCACAATTCAAAATTCTCATCTCCGTGCATCTGAAGTGCTCCTGTTAATCTATGGAAAGCCAGCCCGACATGCAGGTGGAGGAGTTAACGGCATTCACATCATCCCCACACGAGAGCTACCGCTATGTTATTTCGCTGAAGGGTGAGAAGGTCAACATTTGGCTGGAGAATCGCTCGAGCAAGAAGCAGTGGTAAGACGTGGAGCGTATGTCGCTTTCCATCCTCGCGTAATAGAAACATCAGCTCCTCATGCTCATATTTAAAACAGGCAAACCGGATTCTTAAGCAAGGAGGACTACGTGACGCCAGCGAATGCCTTTGTCGATGCGTCTGCAGCAGAGTATATTTCGGTGAGCTCAGTTGCCAACCGAGGAATAACGCATTTACTAACAGTCGTGGTGTCGTTTAACTGTAGTGCTTCAAGCAGTGCCTTGATTGCCCTTTGGAGGAGGGGAAGGATGCCGGACGTAAACTCACTCTACAGAGAGGTGGAAAATTTCAACTTGAGTTGTGTGTGAAGATCCGTCTTCTACGTTCAGCTCGCAACATTTGCTATGACTTCGAGCTCCAGCCCATTGCTGTCGAACGGATTGACATACTCGAGTCGAAGCTTAAGGACCAACAAGAGGAACTGCAGAAGCTCCAGGCAGCGATCCATGCAAACAAGAACAACGTATTTCTGTACGCTAAAAGTGGGGGATTGGTAGGATCGAAGCTGGGATGGAAGGAGGTGAACACGGAGTGTTTCGCACTTGACGACGACAAAACTTCGATTGTGGTTCTTGCTCCTGGGCTTTATGTGCTGGGGATTCTTGTGCATCATGCCCCTGTGGTGAATGACAGTTCAGGGTCTATCGTGCTGGAAGTGAATGGTACTCAACTCCAACGTGCAGCTACAGGTTCCGTCTCCTGCTACGCTAAGGGTGCCAGATATGCTACTCAAAGCCACACCAGCACCTCGCTAATGTGTATCACTCCAGTGAAAAAGAACGCATGCTTCAGTGTGACTTGCTTGGGAACGTCTGTCGTCACGAATATGGCGTCATATATGACGTTGGCGCGCATTGGGGCTTGAGCACAGCTGTAATCTCAGCGCTTCGTGTCATCAGCTTCACAAGTTTCAAGGTTCTTCGAGCAGGGAGGCCAAGCTCGATGACATTTGAAAGATGTGCACCACACGGCTCAAGTTGTGCCCGCGTATCAAAATCAATTGAAGTCACTACTTATGATTCAAAAACCACATTGGATATTTTAGCTTTTCACGTCAGTTCTTTAACAACATTTTTACATGCTCTTCTCTTCAAGCTTGGTACACGAAAACTACACGGTCTTGTCACATCGAAAATCCAAACTACCTCGCGGGCAGTCGGCATCACTTAGGCCTTAGGCCGCAGCCGATGCCGCGACGGAACCAGCGGTACTAGTCGTAGTTGTTGCAGCAGCAAGAGCTTCACCAGACCCTTCCTTGGGCCCCTCACCCGAGCTGATGGACGGTATCCCGCCACTAAATGACCCGCCGAAGTCACCACCACCGAAGCCAGAGCCGCCGAAGCCTCCCATCGATCCAGCGAAGCCACCTCCGGTCATGGAGCCGCCGCCTCGACGACCGCCGCCAAAGTGTCCACC